ACGTTTATGCAAAAAGCAAAAAAGAAATTTTATTCTTCCCCGTTGTTTTCTTTGCTGTCGTTGTTTTTGTTGCTAATTTATTTTCTTACGGCCATGCAGTTTTTGTTATTCATGAGTGCGTGTGTTTAACCTGCCATTTGGCATTTAGTTGTTTTGGAAATTCTAAATATTTTATGGGCCATTTACTTTTAGACAACAAGAACAAAAACAAGTCACCCACACTATACCGGAGATTTTAAATGCAAACATTAACACATTTTTGTTCAGACTGATCGTTTCCATGCTGGAACTCAAAAAAGGGAAAACACAGCTTACAGTGGGTCAAAGGAGAAAATAACTGAGATTGGAATAATATGAATGTTCTTGAGTTAGAGAATTAGTGCAATATTCATAAAATAGTGACAGTAAGGATCGTACTGAATTACCAGGGACTTAACCTGTTGAGATTATCTGAAGTTTTTTCTACACAAATCGATGTCTCCCAAATACTTAATTCTACAAACATTAAATAAAAAAACTAAATTGTGACTGGCGGTCAATTCGAAATTGTTCTGAATCCTTTTTACTTAACTTCAAAGTCTATATACAGGGATGAAATAAAAAAATGCAAAGAAATCAAACGCTATAATTTTTAATTTTTTTTAAATTTTATTGAAAGAAAGAAAAAAAATGTCTGAAATGTCATCAAATTTTAGAATAAGTTTAGATTTGTTCGAATTGGTCACCTTTGGCACGAATAATGGCCTTTAAACGGCCAATGAAACCGTCACACTCTGACCAAATGCTGCTCTGCGGTAGTTTGGCCCGTTCCCGCCGACGAAGCGCTTGCTTGAGGTGATCGACACTTTGGTATTTTTTAGTGCCAACCTTGCTTTCCAAAATACTCCAGACACAATAGCCCAACGGATTGGTATCCGGAGATTTTAGGTGGCCATTGTGCGCTGGAAATGAAGCGAGGAACCTCATTTTATAACCATTCTTGGGTGGCGCGTGCTGAGTCCTGTTGGAATGTCCAAGGTCTGCGACCAAAATGTTTGCGTGCCCAAGGCTTTAATACACCCTCCAGAATATTTACGCGATAATATTCGTCATTTATTCTGATTCCACGGTCGATTAATACGAGCGGAGAGCGATCGTCGGCTGTTGTGGCGGCTCAAACCATCACCATAGCCGGCGCTTGAGGTCTGGTGGCCAATTGAAGGTACACATTTTTAGCTGACCTCTTAGGCAAGTAAACACGATCATTTTGTTTGTTTACAAACTGCTGGACAGCGAATGTTTTCTCATCGGAGAAAACCACTTTTGGCCAAAAGAAGCAAGTCTTTAGCTCTTTTGAGTCTACTTTTTTTCTGTTGCGGTGAAAGTTCTTGCAATTTTTGGAATTTCAATGGCTTTAACCCGAGCTCATTTTTCAATATTTGCCGAATATTGCGATATGTTCAGCTCACGAGCCATTTTTCGGCCACTGCGACGGGGGTTTCGATCAAGTCGCTTCTTTACTTTTCGAACCATTTCTGCTGATGTTGCTGTTTTCTTCCGTCCACTTCCTTGACGTCGGGCTACGCTGCCAGTATCAGGTACGAGGCACAAAAGATTTATTCTCACTAACGATAGCCACTTGTGTTTTTCCGGCCAAATATAAAGAAATCACACTATCACGTTTGAATTCCATCACGAATAACTTTTTTCTGGAAAATTCTCACCAAAATGCTTTTGTACGCTTGTAAACAATATAATGAGCTGTCACTGGAATAATTTTAAGAGCTATCGGACGAGTGGCTTAGAAATGACAGCAGTCTGAAGTTAATCAAACGTGGCACGTCGCAATATTTATATCATGTTTATTTTAGGTCCGATAAGAAATGTTTAATTCACGTTTGTGACGACGCTGGTTCTTCAATTTTTTTAGTCTACGATGATCCTTTAGAAAAATTGTTCAAAACACTTACGTTTCTGGTAGACTTGGTCTTCTAGAAAAATTCTTTAAGAAAACGTTAGTGTATGCAAAGGTTCTTCATAAAAATTCTTACAAATTCCACGTTTATTAAGGCGACAGCCCTTTAGAGAAATTCTTACAAAAATGCACTTTTATGAAAAATAGTTTAAAAATTCTAGGATTATGGAGGCAATGGTCCTTTGATAAAACTCTTAAAAAAATCTAAGTTTTAGGTTGCCCATCAAGTGTCTTTTAGAAAAAATCGTAAAAAATCCAAGTTTATGAAGGAATTCTTAAAAAAATTCACATAGGAAAAATTCTTAAAAAAATCCACATTTATAAGGGCGATAGTCATTTGGAAAAATTCTTTTAAAAATCCACGTTTATGAAAGCGTTGGTCCTTGAGAAAAATTCTTTAAAAAATCACGTTTATGAAGGCATTGGTCCTTGAGAAAAATTCTTTAAAAATCACGTTTATGAAGGCATTGGTCCTTGAGAAAAATTCTTTAAAAAAATCACGTTTATGAAGGCATTGGTCCTTGAGAAAAATTCTTTTAAAAATCCACGTTTATGAAGGCGATGGTCCTTGATAAAAATTCTTAAAAAAATCCACGTTTATGAAGGCGATGGTCCTTGAGAAAAATTCTTTAAAAAATCACGTTAATAAAGGCATTGGTCCTTGAGCAAAATTCTTTAAAAAATCCACGTTTATGAAAGCGATGGTGCTTGATAAAAATTCTTTAAAAAATCCACGTTTATGAAGTCGATGGTCCTGAAGAAGAATTGGTTGAAAACTGTTTGTTTTATGAACGAGATGGTCCTTAAGAAAAATTTTAAAAATTTTCATTTTTAGCAGAGATGTTCCTTGAGAATTTTTCTTTAAAAAATCCTTCTTTATAGAGACGTTTATGGTTTAAGAAAAAATCTCTAAAAATCCACGTTTTTAGCAGAGAAGGTCCCTGAGAAAAATTCTTAAAAAACACACGTTTATAAAGGCGATGGTCCTTAAAAAAATCTTTAAAAAATATCGGTTTTTGAAAGCGATGGCCCATAAAAAAATTCTTTGAACAAATTCACGATTTTGAAAGTGATGGTTCTTGATGGCGATGGTTTTTAAAAAAAATTCTTTAAAAAATCTGCGTTTATAAAATCGATGGTCCTGAAGAAAGGTTGCTTAAAAATCCACAAAAACAAAAAATGTAGCGAACGTTCTTCAGTAAAATACTTTAAAAAAAATCATCGTTTATTAAGGCGAGGGTCTAAAGAAAAAAATCAATGTTTATTAAGGCGAGGGTCTAAAGAATAAATCTTTAAAAAGAAATTTAAAGGCGATGGCCCTTAAAAAAATCTTAAATAAAAAATACAAGATTTTGCAGGCGATGGTCCTAAAAAAATTCTTTAACAAAAATCCACGATTTTGAAGGCAATGGTTCCTAAGAAAAAAATCGTCAAAAATTATGGTGTTAGGAAGCGATGGTTCTTAAGAAAAATTCTTTAAAAATCCACGTTTTAGCAAAGGAGGTCCTTCATAAAAATCTACATTTAGGACGATAAAGATCGTTCATATTAATACATAAAAAATCCTTTTTTGGGAGGACACTGATTCTTAAGAAAAATTCAAAGAAAAATCTACATTTATGGCTACGATGGTTCTTAGAAAATCCCTAAAAAGTTTACGATTATGGATGCAAAGGTCCTTAACAAAAAATCCTCAGGTCCTTCCGAAAAAAATAAAAAATCTACGCTTTTGGGCCTTAAGAAAAATCCATTAAAAAATCACCATTGAGGCTTCAGAAAAATCCTTAAATGGTTCTTCAGATGAATTCTTATAAAAAATTTTTAAAAAAATCTACGTTTGAAATGATCCTTCAGAATAATTCATTAAACACGAGTATTTTGAAGGTGCTAACCGTATTTTTCAACTAAGTTCATAACAGTCCAATATTTTTAACAGGTTCTGACATTTGAGCCAAACCCAAACTTGAGGACTTCTAAGGCAACTATATATAATTCAGGGTTTCACTTAGGGCAGGGTCGCCAGGTCTCGTCTAATTCTTTTAAAGATCCTAATTCTATTTACCTTTCGGAGCCACTGTATCTTTCTTATCTGCTCCATATCTCTGTGTCTTAAGAACAAGTGAAAAAAAACGTTAAAGAAAAAGGGAAAATTCTTACACAAAATTCACACGTCCCTTATATTTTTGGGAATTTTGTAACGAAATGGAAAACTTGGCCAACTGAAAGAATTCTTAACCAGTTTTCAGGCTGAGCCGATTGCGAAGATGCTGTTGTTGTTGTCACAATATTAACCTGTGAACTAATATTGTGACAACAACAACATTAGGATAGAGTAATATTTTACCATATTTCAATGTTTTGTTGTTGTTATTGTAGCTGGTGTTGATGTTTTTCTTTCTCTGCATATGCGATCAATCGCTCGATCGATCAGTTGTGTAGTACCAACCCATGTATGTCTGCCTGTCTGTCCATTACAAAAAATAACTGCTTTCTGCTGTTACCTGTTAGCAATGAGCAATCCCAGCAATTCGCCTCAGTTTTTTTTGAGATCACTATTCGCCGCACTACACAATCTTAAGCCGCTATATGATGGCATAAGCGTCTTTAGTCTGGCTTTACCTGTTGCTTGAGAAACACGTATCTACCGTTGAAACGCCGTTGTCGTGTCGTTTTGTTTGGTTTCTGACGTTTTGAACCGTTTCCAAAAACTAGCCGGTCGAGAAGACATTCCATTTATCCGCCATTCCCCCGCCCTCAGCAGTTGCAGCAACAACTGCCAAAGAGTTGAGAAATGTGAGTGTATGGGTTATTTTGGAGTACCTGAGTCGTATGGAAGTCAAGAAGAGATATCTGTGTGTGTGTGTGTCTTAGTCTGTTGTATTTTCTTTTCAATTCATACAAACCAGTGACTTTGCCACAATGGCTATGAACGGGTTCAAAAATTGTGTATGTGGATGTGTTTGAGTCTTGGCCAGGCTTAGCAGTGTGTTTCTTTTTTATTTTGGCATTTTTGTCTATATTCAGTCTTGGAGTTGCTTATACCACTTTGAAACCGCTTCGAGGTGGTAGAGGTGTTGCTCGAAAGATTTCTTAAGCCAGTTTCAGTGAGTGTTTGGCCTTCGTGTGGTACGGTACAGTAAACGGATATTAACTGAAAGACGAATTCAAGAAACGAAGAAGAAGAAAATAAATAAAATTCAAATGAGTGAATGAAAAAAAAAAAAAACATTAACTAAAGAAGAAAAAAAGAGGTTGCTTCTTCATCTCAAAAAAGTGAGAGAGTGATTTTTTGGAGTGTCTGGGCAGCATCTAGCCAAAACCAAAGTGTATGTGTCACGATTTTTAAGAAAACCAAGAAATTATATAAAATTGAAATAAGAATGGATTAAAAAAAGCAACATGAGACAAATAAGCATATGAAAAGGATACTAATTGATTTAAATTAAAGAAAAGTGTTAAAAAATCAAATAACAAAAAATCACACACACACACACCCAATAATGGATACCCTGGATTAAAACACCAATAAATTTGATTGCTACTACCTCAAAAAAAAAAAAAAAAAAAAAAAAGAGAAACCCTAAGTAAAAAAAATAATAAAGGTTTCTTGTGAAATTTCATTTTTGTTCACCAGAAATCATTAGCTTTGTTCGAGATATCTGTTTTTATTTTTTTGCCAACAAGTCACCGCTCAATGGCCAGTATCTCTTGGAAACTGTATAGAAATTGCACGAATTGTGTCATTAACTTGACGATTTGCCATGTTTTGCTGTTTTAGAGAGTTGTTGTCTATTTAAGCGTGTTATATTGAGAAGGGGCCACCGCCACCATCGTCCGCCAGCTATTGCTCTAACTCTAGCTCCAGCCATAGTTAATTTCTTTACTTGGAGTTTTTGCTGTCTTTTTTTGTGTTACACATAGATAAATCAAATCGTTTTTCTCTCTCTCCATTGCTTTTCTAAGATTGCAACAAACATCGACAGGCTGTAAACCGCAAAAATACCACCACCACCACAGCCATCACCACAACCAAGTGGTAACCGCAGCTGCACCAGCACCAGCACTTGCATTTAATGCAACTCCATTTTGCAAACACCGCCAGAGTTGAACAAGTTCGAGATTCGATTTACAATCGGTCTAAATGGATTTTCGAATACCCTTCAATTAATAGGGATTTGCTAAGGAGAGGATAACAATTTTCTGAAATAAAACTTTTCGGATTTTGACTTTTGAAGTGTTTTGAATCTTGACTTGCTGTGGATGTATTGGTTTTCGTCCTGAAAGGGGCAATTTCCTCAAAAAGTTTGATAAATATGAAATGGAAAATATATCTTCAAATAAAAAGACCAATGCAGAAGCTGAAAGATAGATTTCATTGCAAACATCGCCAGAGTTGAACAAGTTCGAGATTCGATTCGATTCGATTTTTTGATTACCCTGCAATGGTAGGAGTTTCCTAAGGAGAGGATAACAATTTTCTGAAATAAGACTTTTCGGTTTTGCTTTTTGAGTTGTTTGTTTGTTTTAACCATAGCCCCTTTAAAGTTTTGTTCAGATGGCTTGCTGTGAATGTTTTGTTTTCGATTCTGAAAGGGGTAATTTCCTAAAATGTTTGATAAATAGGAAATGGGACTCTATAGTAGCTACAAATAAAAAGTAAAACCAATGCAGAAGCTGAAAGACATCAAAATCCGATTAAACTAGAGGTTAGATTTCATTGTAAACACCACCAGAGTTGAATAACTTCGAGATTCGATTTACAATCGGTTTAAATGGATTTTCGAATACCCTTCAATGGTAGAAATTTGCTAGAGAGGGGATAAAAATCTTCTGGAATAAGACTTTTCCGGTTTTGAATTGAATCAGAAACATCTGATCCATAACCATAGTCCATTTAAAGTTTCACTCAGATGTCTTACTGTGGATGTCTTGGTTTTCGGTCCTGAAGAGGATAATTTCCTCAAAATTTTTGAAAAATATGAAATGCGACTCTTGAACTTTTCCGGCATTGACTGTTTGGTTATATTGCATGGATCATGTGGGACTGATTTTTGTGATTACAAGTCTAAGCTTCTAAAACTTGTTTTTGAGTCTAAGTTTTTTTTTTCATGGGTCCAAAATGGATGAGAAAACTTCATACATTTTCTAATTGCAAGGCGCAATCAATGCAGGAGCTCTATAAGTTCGAAATTTAATTATCTCTTTTAAGGACATTAACATTTTTATGGGGTTCCATCAATCATGTGGGACTGTTTTTTAGATCCCAAATCTAAGGCTCTTTTGAAACTTTGCTCAGGTCCAGATACAAAATGTGATAGAGAAAAAATAGCGAAGTGATTCAACTTGTCCGGTATTCAATTTTAAATTGGGTTCCATCGATCATATTGGACGGATTTTTGTTGGTCTCAAGTCTAAGTTTCTCAAACTTGTTTTCGAGTTCTAATTTTTGGCTTTTTCTTGGGTCCAAAATGGGTGAAAAGACTTTTTATATTTTAAAATTGAAGGCCATTGACATTTTAATCGGGTTACATCAATCGTGTTCGACTGTTTTTTAAATCCCAAATCTAAGGCTCTCTTGAAACTTTGTCTCAGGTCCAGAGGATACGAACAAAGATGTCCAGTATTGAATTTTAAGTTGGGTTCCATCGATCATGTCTGAGTTCTTCAAAGTCTAAAGTTTTGTTCCCAAGTCCAAAGTTTTGTCTCTTTCTTGCCTAAAATGGGTAATTTTTCTAAAATGCTCGAGATGATTTTTACGGGACAAGGTCTAGAAGCTCAAAATCTAAGTTGTTCAAACTTGTTCCCAGATCCAAATTTTTGTCTTTTTCTTGCCTAAAATGGGCGAGATTGATACGAGACGAGGTATTAACTTTTTCATTAGTAGACAACATAAGATCCCAAACCCTAGGTTGTTCTGAAACTTTGTCTCAAGTCCAAATGTTTGTCTCTTTTTTAATCTGGTTCTATCGATCGTCCTGTTGGACTGATTTTTGAGATGATAAATCCCAGACTCTCCTTGAAATTGGATTTAGGTTAAAAGTGATGTCTTTTCTTGTCTGAAATGGACGATAGTCCAAAAGGACAAGGTATTGAATTTTTATTAGACTCCATGAGATCCAAAATCCTAGGTTGTTTTGAAACATTGTCTCAGGTCCAAATGTTTGTATTTTCTTTTATCGGATTTTATCGATCGTCCTGTTGGACTGGTTTGTTGAGACAACATATCCCAGACTCTCCTTGAAATTTGGGCTCATGTTCCAATTGTTTTCTTTTCATGTCTGAAATGGACGACATTCCGCGGGCTCGACAAATACGAAAATGGATTTTATATCCACTTCGATTGCAAGTCATAATCGAACTAGGAGTTGAAATAGTTCAAAATTTGATTATATCCAGTCAAGGCGTCAAGGTCCGGCATTGACTTTCTTTTACTGCACAGAAAAAGAAAGGATAATCCGATTTTGCTCCAACTTTACAAATCCTAATATTTGTATCTGTGCTAGGCCAGGTGCGAAATGGACAATATCGGTCCACTTCTTCTGGTACCTTCCCCACAAAGGGTACAAATTTTGAATTTCCATGAAGCTCATAAAACACGAAATTATCATCCGATTCCATTCAGACTTGGCACATCTCAGTATTTCTATCAACACAAGATCTGTTATAAAGATGGTAGAGGTCGGACCATTTATTCTGGTACCTCCACCACAAAGGGTCGAAGTTCTGAATATCCAAAAACGCTCAAAGAAAGTGAAATAAGTGTCCAACTCTCTTCAAATTTCACACATACACATATTTTTGCTAACACAAGATTTGTTGTGAAGATGATATATATCTGCGAACCCCGTCTGGTACATCACCCACAAAATGTCACAATTTTCCGTACTTTTATCTGTCATAACTTTTGAAACAAGTCAGCGATTCTTTACAACTTGCTATATCTAAATATTTCTCTCAACCAGAAACCTGAGATGAATGTGGAATTTATGATTTCGAATAAAATTGGATATAAATGATTGATATTCTGATTTCAAATAATCTGTATTAGATGAAGTATGAAAATTTTAACATTTTCTAAAAATTATCACATATCTCATATAAAGTTAAGGAAGTAACCAATATAGTCCAAACCTGAACGTCATAATATTTATATCATATTTAGTAAGGCCCGATACGAAATGGACAATATTGGCCCATTCCTTCGGAACCTACTCCATAGAGGGTCACACATCTGAATAATCATAACATAAGTCAAAATATATTTAAATAATCGAATATTGGCTGATGGTATATATCTGTCAGCAAAATCGATCGATACTTTTTAACTGCTTTGTTTTTATTTGTAGTATTTTATACACTGAAGGTACGAAATGTACCAAAATGTACAAAATTGTAGTCTATTATTAATAAAAATGTGTTGGTATGGAAATTGCGCATGAGGCTTGTATTGGGAATAATTGAGACAATATTTTTGGAAATCTCGGAAAGCCTCGTATGAGGCTTATATTTTCTATGGTGGGATAAATTCAATCAATATTTTTGAAAATTCTATTTGTAGAATATTAAAAGGTACAAATTGGTCAAGATGGGTATTATGGAAATTGTTATTATGAATTGGTGGAAAATAATTAGAACTTTGTTTTTCGAACTCGAACCTCGCTTTTGTCTTCAATACGTCTTCACTATTTGGTAATAAATCATTATTCATTATTCGGTAATAAGTCAAATAAGTTTTTTTTTTTGCCTTGCAAATTTTTAAGAACAAACCATTACTTCCCTCTTTCGCCGGTAGTGTCAAGGTAGTCTGTTTACATTACTTTGAAATGACTGATTTGGCTAATATGAATACCAAATTTTTACTGGGAATATAAACGTTAATACCATTAATAAAATAAATTTCTTTTTGAAATGCCTCCTGACCGATACCACATTTCCTCGAAATGATGAGCTATAAATCAAATTCTTTTCACGGGAAAAATTTTTCGAAACAAATTCTGTAAGGTACCCTAAAATTACCTCCAGAATTTCGCATATCATAAAACACTAAATTAAATATTTTTATCTCCCGAAAAGAAAAAAAAAAACAACAAAAACATTCACATTTTACCCACAATTTCAATTAGCCAGCCAGTCAGCCAGCCTACATCATGACCATTTATTTACTTTGCCTAATCAGGTTCTTGGAAGCGAACGTAAGATTTCGGTTGTATGTTTCAAACCGTTAAATCAACACACAACACTTGTCATACCATTGTAGAGAGAGAAAGAGCAGAGATAGATATGCATGTATTTATGTGTGTGTGTGGAAAACAAATACAAAACCCCA